AGTAATAACCTGAATTTGTGGGCTCCACTCGTCCACTTTCATGTGATACTTCCTACATACAGAGAGATTCAAATTAAGTGCGCCTGGTTGATTTTATGAGTATCGCCTCCATATCAGTTGAAGACCATACGGTTTTTCCTTATCGAAAATGTTACTTTTTTTATTTCTGCTAAACTGTGTCGTAATTTATGATGATTTATATCTAATCCTATTTATCTAACTATCATATGCAATTAAATCCAAAAAAAGCAACAGAATCAGTTTTTGTTGTCGATTAATTTTTAACTATCTACTATGTTGAGACAGCAATTTTTGTGAAAGCATTTTTGAGTTTGATAGCAGAATACTTTTCTTTGAGTTTTCCCTTTGAGCTTTTGAGCTTCTGTAGACTTTCAAGTTCAACTCTAAGGCAACCATTTAAGAAAATTGACACCATAAATATATTTTTGAGAATTTGTATAGATTCGTACCGGTGTGACTAAAAAACGACTAATTTCCTGGCAATTGTTGTTCTTCGCAGAATCGACTCTTACTGCTTAATTGGAAAATATGATTTTCTGGTAACGGAAAACTTGTTTCCATTATTCCTTTACGGATATATTTCTGGAGAACCTATAATATTTAAGACACCCGACAAAAAAAAAATTAATAATTGTTAATCGAAGTTACCCTTAATCGAATTCATCCTCTGAGTTTATTTGCAAAATAACCTTTTATAAACGATATGCTTGTTTAAAGCGTTAGAATAATCGTTTTAGACGCGGTCAACTTGCTGATGTGAGGAGGATGTATTGAGCAACATGTGGATCTCTCTGAGAACTTATTTTAATTGATTGTTTAAGATAAAAACTTTTTCCGGACCTTCGTGCTTTTAACTGTAGGTTTTAGCAGTTTTTAATTCTGTGGTTTTTACATCTTTTGAAATTCATTTGAAAATGAGTATAGCTTCTTCTAATTTTTCGCTGGATACAGGATTTCTAAACAAATAATTGAATTAAAAAATATCCGTAAAAATGGTTAAGTAGGTACGGATTATAATCTGAATTAGTCTGCAAAATGGACATATTGAATATTTTCTATTTAATTTGATCTTAAACTTCGATTGAAATATCGTATATGCGGGTTACACGTGCACTGACTATTGAATCGTTTTCATAAACCAAATGTTTGCTTAGCGAATCTGGCTTTGCCTTGTTTTAGTTCAAGTTAATTTAGTTGGTAGGGATCTTTAACGTTGGCATATTCCGCGGAAATAATTAGCGAGAAAAAACTGAAGGCGAAAAATTAACAAATTGCCGTTTCAAACAGTTTGGAAACGAAACTTTACCATGCTCGAATGTCTTTAACGTAAAGTGAGAGAAACGTGAACTTAGAGAAGAACAATATCAAGAGGTTATAATAGAAAATAACGTTTTAAGTAAAACATTTTCAAAACATTCATTTAATTATCTTACTATCCCGTTACAAGTTTTGAATAGCAAGTTGAAATATGTTCGATTATTCCATTTTCGGGAAAACCTATTTTTTCTCAGCCTTTTCCACAAGCTTTTTGCATCAAACCTCCAATTTGCAGTTTTTTCTAGTGTTTAATCATATTTCACTCTAACATAGCGCAGGCACTAACGTTTTTTGCCGCTGCGCCTTTTGATTCCAGGAAATGTTTAAATCCCTGTCTGGCAGAGTTTGTAGTTTTCGTTTTCCAATTTTCAAAAATTGCAATTACAAATTTGTTTTCTATCTTCCTAACAATGTTTTCCAGGATACTTAAGATTTTATGTCAAATTGATCCACAAATCTTGTGTTAACTTTGGGCATTTTTTTACGTAATCAGTGTTTTTATTTACCGCTAATTGGGGTGGTATCGCGAAGAAACCACACTCATTTCTTATAGTAGTTGCTTTTAGAAATGATGTTAAGCAGTAGATTCTTTTGTGTATCAACAAATATTCCGTTTCTTAAACTTGTGTTTAAATGCGTATAAAAATTTCATTTTTCTTTAGTCACGAATGCCAGTTCAAAATTAGCTAACTGGACTACTAGCTCTATTTCGCCAAGACATTAGAACTTGGAGTACAAAAAATAAGATCGATTAACATCTTTGAAGTGTGCTATTTTTAGTTGGGTTAAAATTGTTTATTTCATATTTTAGTAACCAATTGTTGTCCGTTGCATATTTAACGCGTATTCAGTCTTCCTGTATTACTTAATTGTCAGTGCGATTGATACACCTTTAATAAATGTCTTAAGTCTAAGTATCCTAATACAAAGAAAAAGTGGAAAAGTAGAAATCATTAGTGGCCTTACAAGTTTAGCCAATCTAAATGTACTTAGAACGACCTCATTTTAGGACTATTTTGTCCTATAGGAGATGTCAGTGTTTATTTAAAAAAATGCTTCCAGATGCTTAAACAGCTTTTAGAACAATTCGTTATAATATTGAGTTAAGTGATAATATTTGCAGGCTGTGTGGCTCCTATTCCTGTTTCTGCAGTTACCAAAGTACATGCATTAACTTGTTTAAACATCTGGAAGTTTCACGATTGACCTTTATATACATCTTAGTGGCAACACAAATGTATGTTGTTTTAGATCGTAAAAGTATTCGATGTAATTGACGCGCACTTAAGAAGAACTCCCAAATTTAACATAAAAATGCGTTTGCAGCCTTGTTTAATCCCTCTCAGAGATAAAACGAATGGTGCGGCGGAGGAATCAGCTCGTCCGTCTTAATATTCTTAACGTTTCTGTGATATATGCTCTTGTGATTTCGAAGCGAGTTGAGACTGCTGTACACTCTCTTGCATATGTTACACACTGGCTCTCTTGATGGTCTCATATGCACATTTTGAATATGTCTTTTAAGTCTTGTGAGGGAGCTAAGACTCTTGTTGCACGGTTGACATCGAAAATCCTCCATACCTATGGGCAAGAAGCCCGATTTTAGCCTCTGTCTTAGCCCTTTTTGCAACAAGTCTAGTTGTCTAGTATATAATGTGTTCTATTAAGCCATTATGTACAGCCGATATTAGTTTATGTGGGCGTAGCACTTTGCTGTCACCACTCTTTCATTCTGGATTAGATACAGGACAGTTTGAAACGTTGCTTGATATTGAGTAATAGAATACAATGCAGCTTTTCCTCTGATGTTTATTAAAGACTTTTGAAATTGGGAATTTTGCTTCCAAGCTTTCCAATGTTTCCATTCGAATGGCTTCTATAGCATCTACACCGATCAGTTATGAAAATTATTTGTGCGCGTACAATTTTTATAAAATATCTTTTGAAAACAAACATTACAATATAAAAATGTCTCGTACCCAATACTTAGCTAACACAATATTTAATGAGTATTGAAATTTTATTTTCATTATCGGTATTTCAGATCAGTCAAAAAGAAACTATTTACTTTGCAGCTCATACAACACAATTTAATGTAAAAGCATTAACTTTATTATAAGGAACTTACTTGGAATACTTGGACAATTTGCCTGTTTCGATAGGGGAATAAAAATCCAAACGAAAGGAGTTAGAATGAGTTTAAGTTTAAAATTCCCAACTAAATTCGGACTATACCGGAGTTAATCGAGTGACCTCCGCATTTATCAGACCTAACTCTGTGTGACCTCCTTTTGTGGAATATCAGTTATTGCTAGTGGAACTAGCTCTGCTTATTAAAAATTGAAACTTATTCAGAAACTTTAAAATTCGTATAACAATAATATATAGTGACGCTTGAACAAAGGGGTAATTTCAGATGTAAATCTCCTTGACCTTAATTTTTCATGAAAGGAGAAAATTAAAGAAAAAATCATCCCATAAATTAATCTTGTTTTGCTATAATTGGAGCACATAACTACTCGAAGAATGCATGCTTAAAAGCATAAATTTTAAGTTTCTATTCTCCGAAGCAATGATTATTCGAACTATTTGGACGCAAGCAAATTTTATATTTATATATCTTCTGTTATATATGCTCCTTATTGCGTTTGTATGACTTGGCATGTGCGAAACTATCTAAATTTTCATAATATTGAAACATTTGCAATACTCATCAAATATGTTATTTTGCTCAAAATATATTAAACTTAATGTTTGTGCCTTAATTTGGTGTTTTCAAAAGCAGAAAATAATCAAATTTCGGTATCAGTTTCATAAATAATTAATAATAGTAATAAAGCTTCAAATTATCAGCAATGTTACCCCTCTCAATCAACATTTCAAACTGTTATCGTTATAATTTATTTTAACATTTCTCTGGAACAACTTTGCAAAAGTAAATTTGGCAAATTCATTTTAGGATTATTAGTAACATTAATAAGATTGCTCTTAAGATACTTAATAAATAACCTCCTAGCTTCCATGAAACCTATTTCTAGTAATTTTCTTTAAATTGGCTTCCCCAAGAATCTTACATTTCGGAAGGAATAAACAAAAAAATAAACACACGCAAGACTAAAACACAAAGTAACCAGACCAGAAAAACAAATCGAAACATTTCAGAACACAAACAGAGAAAACACATACTTGGAATAAAGACACTTTTGGATCAAAACGCATTATCTTTAACTTTCAACTGGATTTTATGTGAATGATGTTATCAATTAGTTGCTTTTTTCCAAAAGAGTCTTGCATGTACCAAATGCCACTGTAATCAAAGTGGCATTATTCGTACTGGATTAGATATATCGGGCAGTATTACCAGTTTTACAATTTATTGGTTTGTTATGAAAGGAAGCTAAACTAAGCTTTTTAGTTGTCTCATAATGCAATGGGTAGAGAATAATTCCATAAGAAATTTGGCAAAAAGTAAAGTGACGCTAAGAAATATAAAATTAAGCATGTAGGTATTCAATATGAAAAAATATTGAACATTTATGTTTGTTTGCTACCATTTGTTAGTTGAACCATATATTGAATTTCGAACGTGTCGTAATACTAACCGATATATTGTTTTAGAACGAACACTTTATAAATTGCAAAAATTCAAAAAGACTGCTTACCTTGCGATGTCCCTGCCAATGTGTCGTTTGCTTGTAGCGACTGATTTAGACCTGGAACAAATAGGTCTACATTTATTATGCAGTTAACCTTCCAGTTAACTGCCTAAATTTACAACAATTAAATAAAACTTAAAATTAATAATTACACTTAACTACATTTCTAAAAAAGTATATAAAAGTATAAAGAGAAAGTTCAGATTGAACACTGCATGCATTAAGTTACGATGGTAAAGATGTTAAAGGGTATTATACATTGACGTACATTGTTAGATGTGGAGTAACTTTAACTTAAAAAGTTGTAACAATTTATTAATTAATTATAATTTAATTTAATTGAATTCAACTTAGATACGCTAATTTAATTTGACTGATCAAAAAGGTATAAATGTATTAGCGAATTTAAATAAACCTTTTCTTTGAATAGAAAATAATTGTATGCATTATGTATGTATGTAAACATATTTTGATATTCAATTTTAAAAACTCTGTTTCTGCCCGATATACATTTTTTTTACAGAATTTACTTAAAAAGCCTTGAAACTAGTGCTTTTCTCAATGCTGGGTTAATTTAGTGTTCTAAAACAAAAAACTGAGATCAAAACTTCACTCATTTGAAAATAGGAACTTTATTTTTTTATCCTGAACTTGTATTTAAGCTTTAATGAAAAGATTATTCAAGCTTAATAATTTAAATTTATTTGGTGATTATTTCAATTGAACAGTATTTATACGGGGTGTTTTATAATAACACGTTTTTAAAAACATTTAGGAGCAGCGATTTAATTAATCCCGATTTATTCTTAAGAATTACGGAAATTTGTGTTTGATGTTGAGCACAGTTGAAGAAACTACCTAAGATAGAAGAAAATCCAATCACTCCGAAATATTTATGAATGTATTTTTCCTTAAAAATTGTGCACATATGTCACATGTTAATAGGCTTGTTTTTATGAAACACCTTGCATTTTTGGACGGAGATTCTAAAAATGACTGACATGATAAATATCCTAATAACAAACAATGCCGTCCTAGCACTTAAAAAGCTCCTTTCGTTGTTATGTAGCATAAACAGAGTTTATATTTTATGGATATAAAGATAGATAAGCAACCTTTACATTGCTCGAGTTACTGAAAAATAACTTTTGTGCGTTACTTTTAATTAAATCAATGTATATTTCAAACTCGCCAATGGCAAAGTAAAGTTAAAAAAATACATCAGGAATGGCACCTAACATTATTTTAAGACTAAAAAAAGGACATAAAGAAAAGTAGATTAAGAATAATTAAAAAGACTCCGGAGTTAATTTTCACACATTACTCTCATATATTGGTCATGCATTTAAAACAAGTAAATTATCAAAATGTAGAAACAGCTTGTTTGTACCAAAAATTAAAACAGGTAAATGACCCGAAATGTTAAAAGAAAGCTGAACCTGAATGCATAAAATGTTGTTTCATTCGACCTTTAAAGCTTGCGGTTTTGCAAAACGGTTTGCTCATTCAGATTATTTTTAAATATTGTTTTAAACACTTTTTAAACACAAATATTGTTTTTTATTTAGCTGGAATTGGAATTTTTGAAAAGAGCAATCGACGCCTAAATATCATAGTTAGCTGCATATATCAGATTTGAGCAAAGTTTTCAATATTTATTTCCATTTGAAAATTGTTTTCGGAAGTACTGGGTATTTTCTGTAGTTGTTTTGGAAATATTACAGCAATTGCCTGCTAGATGAAAAGAAAAATTTTGTATGCTCGTTAATTCAAATAGCTACACTACAGGTTTCATATTTTCACATTTTTTCAGTGCATATTATTGCCTTATTTGTGACGTGTTAATTTCTTATTTCTGATGGATTATCAAACATCAGGCTTTTTTTCTAGAATGCCTTGAACATAAATGAAAGAGCTTTATATTCTATTTCTGAATCTAACTCTTTTTATGTTTTTGTTAATTAACTCTCATATTAAAATATATATTTGTTGATATTTGGTCGAATTTGCTGAAATTTGAATTTCCCATTTAAAAAAGAGTTAATTAGGCATTTTAATAGGGAAGTTAAATAAGCTGCAAGAATTGGTAACAAATTTTCCACTGATACTGATTTCAACAGCGTGTATACATTTTCGTTTTGTATTATAATACATAGTTTTGCCGACAAGATCATTCTAATTTGTACCATTTTAGAGCTCATAAAAAAATCCAGTACAATTATTTTGAATTAATTTAAAGTGAGTAAGATATTTATGCAGAAATTAGTTAGCATTTAGTAAAGTTTAGTTGAAGAGAAAATAAAAAAACAAAAAAAAAATCCTGAGGATAGGCCATAAAAAAGTAAACAAAAAGAAAAGGAACTAACCAAACTTACTTCCTAGAGCAGCGGGATCAGCTGCTAGTGCAGCCATACTAAAATTGAAACTTCCAGCTGCAGTTGCAAATAACTTGCTTTCTGAGGGCGTCAAGTAAGGCCCTATAGGACTGTCATGGTCGTCATGATCTCCTCCTGAGCTTCCTCCAGAATGCGGCCCATGTGGCAGATTATTGGGGCCGTTTTCATTCGGTGCACCTTCGCCTGAATCGTTGCTGGGTAATAATTGAAATATTAGTCCAAATGCTTTATACAAATTCATTTTAAAAATTTGAAAACTTGAAGTTATTGCAATTCTCGATTAAAATCAGCCACAAATCTTCATAGGAAGGATGAAGTCGAATTGATTGAAAGCATCAGATTTATTTATCATGAAGTATTCGTCATTAATTCCTCTTAACAGGAACAATTTTTTTTATGTGAATAAAGTGGATAAAACAAATTTGATTAATTTACTTCCATGTTTCCTTAACTTTGCATAAATTTAAATATTTGAATAGACTGATTATTTAAAATATTTTCGCTGGTAAAGTTCTTAGTTTGTTCTATAGCAGAATAGAATTTGAGAATTGCATTTAAAACGTATGCTAGGCAAGTTGTTAAAAAAAGTATATTTAATTTATTTTAAATTAATTGTTATTATAGTTCACTCTGAGCAGACTCTCTCAAATGCTTAGTATAGTTTTGCGTATTTGAAACACACATTCTGATAATATTTACATTGAAAATATCACACATATATCTAAACTGAATTGTTGCAGAGCGTTATCTCCCTTCTTTAATAGAGAGGCAAATCTTAACATAGTCACATTATTCAATAAACCAAAAATAAACTAGTTTTTCATACCTATTATCATCTGGCTGGTTACTACTACACATTAACTCCATTGGCTCATTTTTTACATTGTTTTCATTGCTATCACTGTGACATCGAGAAAGGGGATGTGTTGGAGAAGGCGAACAAGGTGAATTTTCTCGATCTGTGCTGCTTATTCCATTTCCTGAATGAAGAATAAGAAATGTTGGTAAAACATAGAATAAGGCAATACAGTATAATAAAAACTTTAAACTCTAGGGAGTGTTTAAAAGCTACTGATCCACGGTTTATTGAACATTTTAATTAATAACAAAAATCGATTTTATTAAGAAAAAGTCGGGTGAAGACTGAGCAATACCACATTTTGAACACAAAAGCAAAGTAACAAAAGATAGTTGTTAAAATAAATTGATTCATTTCCACTTTTTAAGTTAATTATATGTTTTGCTTTAGTATTTCGGGTCTAATTTACGCCCAATGTAAGAATTCGAAAATATTTGAATATTCATCTTTGTTGACGGTAGATTTTTTAATATTTATGCTTTAAATATTGTAACTAAAAAGTTAAATTACTTATTACTTCAGAATTATTCAATTATTAACTTCGGAATTATTATTATTATAAACGTACTTTGGCGTATGATTATTGGCGTAAAGATTACAGTGCAAATCAGTCATTTATTAATGTTTCCTATATTTACAGTGTCATTAATAGTACTTTAACTCAATAATTTTTTGCAATTATCATCATTAAGCAAGTAAAATTGCTTGCATAAAATATACTCAAAAATGAAGAGCGATCGCCCTACAACTTAGCGACGTGAATTTTTGTGATTTATTTACATTTGAATCCGAACTGGAGTGAGAAACTAAGAAACAATTTTTGATAATTTCTTTCGGTTGCATTAACTGATTTTGTTAGTGAGCCATAGTAATAAAAAAACATCAAACGCTTGTTGCCGAAATTTGTTTGTTCCGGTATTTCTAAAAAATCAATGTATTTACTTTGCGAAACACTTGCTGAAAACACAACTAAAAGAGCATTCAAAAAATCCTGCAACTCGTACCTCCTTGATGCGAGTTTCTAAACGTACATGGGATTATTCTAGCTTTCGAGCAAAATACCTCTGAGGAATACTTCTCACGCTTGCGAAAAATCAGGAACAATTTATTTTTAACAATGGCATAATAACCAGTAAAATTTATCGTTTCAATGAAGCGATTACCAATTAAAGTGTATAGAAACTAAATTATTCAACCCATTGTATATGGACTTCTGATAAATATGTTTTAATAATCTTGAACAAATCGAACTGATGCAGAAAAAAATTAAGGAAAATTAACATTAAACACTGCAAAACAAAATTAAAAATTCATCATTTGAATGGTAAATGATTGAAATTAGATTTTCAACATTTGTCAAAAGTTCGCCACATTTATAAATCAATTTAACATCCTCCAAACCCACCTCTCCGTAAATGGATCTCCGATATATTGATTCATTGAACCGATAATTGGGTATTTTTTATGAGCGAAAATATTTCTTATTGCAAGAATTAGTAAAGTTACTTTTGAACTTTTAACTAAGTTGGAGATGAAGTACAGTGGATGGACATGCCGTAGTAAAGAAAATAACTGCAGCTCCGTTATTAAACTTTAATTAAAATTAAGGAGTAGGGAAGAAAAAGGCTAAGAGACGTGGCAAATATTTAATGGAGATTGCAGATCATGTCTATTCGAAAATCTTAATTTTTAGAAGAAAGTCCGATTATTTTGATGTTTTTTTCAAAAAAAAAGATGAGGCGCAAACAAAATAGAAAACACTTGGACTTTGATACCCACAAAATAGTTGGCCAGTACCGGAAGTAGCAAAATTATTTATTTCTTGTAATAGATACTTGTTTTTACACTATTTCCTAATCGAGCATTGAAGCATAGAATGTTTTCTTCAAAATCTGTTCGTTTTGTTGTAATTTCAACTTAAACATTACTTTCTGAAAAACATGTAAAATAATCTACGCCTCACCTTCTATTACTTCGGATTTGACCGATGAATTGATGTTCAAGTTCAAAGCATTATTCTTCATTGCGCTCGGTGAAAAGTCTGCAGGCTGCGTCTGAGGCGGATTGTGAGATAGATTCAATTCGTTATTGTTGTTATTTCCTATAATGTGCTCTGAGCGCACTCGTTTGTGGTCACTTTCCGGATCAGATGATATTCTTCTAGGAAAAATTTACAAATATAGATACCGGGACCAATTGGTACTAGTTAGTTATCAGCTATAATTTATAAAGAAAAAGTTAAGCACCTTTCAAATCGTTCCCTCCTATATTGCATAGCAGCCCTACGGAGCAATTGATTTACAGTGGCACCGTGGGGCGGCGATGGTGGTGAAGTGAATAAGGCATCTTCAACGAGCTTATCTGCGTAGCTGCCTTGATGATTGGGAATGGGGGGTGTTGGAGGTGCTTGATGTTGCTGTTGCTGTTGCTGTTGCTGCTGTTGAGATCTGATCAGACTTTGTACTTGAGCCAGCTGAAACCAACACACAAAACTTTTTAGCACAAAATATTATGCAATTGCTTAAGCTCTTAACAACTTGTGTTGTGAACATATACCAGGGACGAAGGGTGAGTGTTTTGAGACATGGAGTAAAATAGAATGAAATTTGTGGATTCTAATTGTGAAACATAATTGCAACAAAATGAGGAAAAATCCGTTGGTTTTTCGGAAGCGGCAAAGGTGTTAGATATTGAAAACTTAGCATTTATAAGATAATAGGATAATAGGCAGAATTTGTCAAAGTCGAGTAGGGTTTAATGAGATACTAGCATCATTTTTTATATATTTTTATTGCTTTTTTTGGAAAGTGTTTCTCATTTACTTCCAAGTATGTAGTACTAAAAAACTACAAATCCTAATTTATAATTGCGGCAAATAAACTTTCAGCATATTAAATATGCATAACTCAAAAGTGGAATTATTTAACATTCGATCTATAGCATTTCCTATGGAATAGAGATTATTTATATGTATATATTTCTATAATTAACTAACTAAACTAACCACTGACTATAATCGAAAAATTAGGTCTTTGAATGGTTGTTTTTAAATAATAAATAAGTAGACGAAAAATAAAAGAATTAATAATAATTTCTTATCAGCTATACTTTCTTTAAGCTTTACACATGCAGACATTAAGAGAGAACCAAATTCCCAGTTCCATACCACATACGACACCTGCTTGGTGGCATGTTCCGGCCCTCTGCGGCACAAATACACTAAATTAATGGTAAATTAAACCTTATATTTATGATTGTGTCTCCACCATACCAAAAATGGTTTTCTAAGTATTGTTTGTTAACTGTGTTTTTTTACTACCGTTAAATTAATATTTAATGTGATTTTGTCCTTTGTCGCTTATACCTATACAATTTTGCTTTTGTAGCGGTTCTTTTTAAATTTTATATTAATAGCAACCAGCTTTTATGATAGTTCAAGACTGAAACCGCTGTGTTCCCTTTTACAGCCCCAATGATGGTTTAAATAGAGCCAAAACGTTGACCCAAGAAAATTCGCATTAATCCAATCACGGAAACTAAGATCTATCGGAAAATAATGTTTTTGAACATCTAGTGGGTGTACTAGGGTAAAAATACATGACAAAGCAATGTTCTATAAATTTGTTTAAAGGAAACAAAGTTGTTGAAAAAGACCACTTGAACTTGACCACAAAAAAGACGGTATCATAATGCATTTTTTACCACACTTCGTAGTTTTCTAGGAGCAACGTTACTGTTTAATAAAAAAAAAATAGTCTAAATATAAAAATTTCAACAAGAACTTGGAGTCTACTTGATTTTCTAAACCGCAGTATCTCGCCAATCATTAGAAATATTGAATGAATGTTTTGATATGCAGCGATTATGGAGGAAAGAAAATCTAATATCAGCTAAAGCGACTTCTGAGCGTTTTGACTTGGTGATCATTTTAGCGCATCGAACTAAAGACTTGACAAGAACGTGTTTTGATCTAACGATTCAACCTTTATTAGCACCTAGCACCTATGATTTTATTCTATCTGCATCAATTTTAAGACGTTGTTATTTGATCCGAATCCCTAGAAGAACCAACTATTTTAAGTAACTTAAAAAGTAAGTGTGGGATCGACGTTGCAATGATTTTGATCTTATATCTGATCTGACTACCAGGTATTTCCAAAAACAATCAAAACCCACTTTTATAGGTAGTTTAAGAACCCCTTACTTCTTCAATTTACCCACAGTTTTATATAAAAAAAATCGGTTAAAAAAGTCAATGGCTAATTTCAGACGTTTTTCAAATATGACCACTGCCTAGCAAACTCCGTATAAATATCGTTTGTTTGTTAAACTTTCGATATATAAATTTGTTAATTCTGCACAAATAATGCCTGCAGTTTGTTCAGTAGACAGACTTCCTGTTCTTGCAGATTATACCAGAACCTTTTCGAACAAATTATACACTATTGCCGCAGAAATAAATCATTGATATGGGCATGTGATCGGCGCTTTGAGTCACCATGCAAATAAAAATGAGAACTGCAACTAAACTACTTTTACGGTCCGTTGCTATTTATTGTAAATATTTCGGTTTCAAGGTCTTGTAACAGAGGAAAACTCACGAACTTAAAACCAGTTTTATTTGATACCAAGGATTAAGCTATCAATTGAGCGATTGTTTCTAGGCATAATCTGGTAAGACGAATGATGGCTTCACAATAGGAAAACTTGGGAACCGCAGGTCATAAATCATGAATCACGCAATGAAGAAGTTGATTTTGTCAACCCACCACCACCAAGAAAACTTTTGTTTCAAAATTATCGACCTTTTTATCTTTGACTAATATTTACTCACTTGTTCCCTTCCATCTCCATGCTGTTGAGTGAGACCACTAACCCTAAGAACCTCCGCCGTCTTGAGGAAGGAGGAGAGAGATCGTTGATGAACGTTTACTTCGCCATGATAGATGAACTCCACCAAAGCGTGGAGGTCTGCCCAGGCAACGTCTTGAAGTACTATCACAGGATGCTTACAAGGAGTAGACTGCAAAAAAAGTTTTAGATAAAAGAAAAGAAAGACACATATTCGACCAGCCATTGGTAACAATAAATCAAAAAGTCGAACTTGTAGATTTTTTGGAAACCGGAAATATTCTTGTATCCGTTTCATACAGCAGATATTCTTCATATACTCTCAGATACTTCATATTTTCACTGATTGTCTATTTAACGCCGATTTGCATTTTCACAAACGCTTCAAGCAATAAGTAGATTTGCGCGATCAAAAACTTCGATAACAAAATTCTTCAACATAAAATGGTACATAAAACGATTTTTTTGCGTCGCATAAAATCAAGAATACGCCCTTCACGTCATGCATCACACCCTGTGCATGTAAAATCCGATGATTTATGGAATGGCTTTGAAATCACTTTAAATTGTTCTGAATTTTTTTAATCGTCCATGTGTTGTAAATTGTACACGTCAGATCGCGATATAATAAAACTAGGTACCGATTAAAAATTACTGCAATAGATTTTTATTAGTTGAAGTTAAATTAGCATTAAACAATTCTATTGTTTCGTCATTTATGTTCCTGTTATTAAAAAGGCCCGGTTTCTGCTATTAATGGCCGTGGTTACCGCGAAATGTGTATGAGAACTCACATACGAACATTTGCTTTTTTCTTATTTGGTCAAATCAAAACTGAATATAGAGTAGAAACTGCTTACTGTTTTTTAAAAGCTCTCTAATTTAAAAATATATTTTTAGCTTTTCGTCATGCAAGGTAATCCCTGTCAAATTTTTTTTTTTTTTACGTTTCGGTTTATTTATACACCTTTATTACAGATATTCATCTACAAAGGGTGATCGTAAATGCATTCATCAATCTTAAAGTATTTATTAAATTGGGTGTTGCACAAAACAAACGAGAAATTGAAATTTTGATTTTAAAATCTTCGTTTTTTCGATATCTTGGATACCTAGTTACTTTTCCTTTCTGAATATTTTTTGCTATTAATAAATGTAGTGCTAATTTCTTCTTATTCTCAGAAGTGAAATCGAACCGGTGTTCTTTGAGGTGATATTTATCGAAATATGTTGTCGAGTAAGTTTGTATTTTTCCCCTGTATGTGTGACCTCTCAGGGTTCTTGATACCTTGTTATTATTGGCGGCCCTGATGATGACGTGAATGACGAAACAGCTTGGCCTTGTTTTACCTTCAAGAATATTTTTCATTTTTTTTGGAATTATGTATATACGCACTTAATACCAGATTCTCAGTCTCATTGAAGAATCAGTTTTATTTAAAATTAGTTTGGGTTCGGATATATCGTAAATAATCTTACACATTAGGACGTATTTTGTATATTGACACACATAAATTGTGAAGACACTTTGTTTCCAGCGATATTAAAGTGATATTGTGCAAATAAATTTTCTTAATTTTCCAATTATGATAAATTCGATTATCAATTAATGTTTAAACAAAATTTGAAAACAGCAAAACACTTATTGAAGACGACTACTAATAAAAAACAAAATACACATTTTTATATGAAAAATGCAATATCTGTGCTAAACTGTAACTCTGTTTCTTTAAAAAGTTCTGCTCAATATAAGGTAAGAAAAATGCGTGTTTGACGCTATTATAGAACATACATCGGACTTATGAGAAGGTACTTTCAATACAAACATTCAAATTAACTCTACATTAGAATGATTGTAATTATTAATAATTAAATAATAACTCACTTTAAGTAATTCGCGAAAATATGGGCTACATGCTGATAAAACAACTCGGTGAGCTTTCAGACTTTTGCCTTCACAAGCCAGCGTCACGTCCACGAAGTCCTCGTCATCCCGAAGATTTTCAAATGCAGAAGTGATGCTGCTTTGGTAGTTGTTCCACCTCAGACAGAAGTGTTGAGTGTCGACCATGGTAAAACGTATTCAACTGCAACAAACAAAAAATAAATTTTTAATCAATTATCTTCTTATCTAAATCATACAATTAGTGTCAAAGGTTTTCCTTTGCAAGTTTCCAAAAGGGATCGATGAATTTCAAATTGGTAGAGGAGATCAATCAGACCGAACATTTCTGATTTCATCATTGTTATTGTTAAACCGTCTACATTTGTATTGTTTTATATGTTGTTCGGCCACCAATTTATTATTCCAACGTAGTAGTGTGAGTATAGGAGAAAATCGAAGATAATATATTCCATACAGCATATACATAGCTTGCACCTTTGGAAACGAAATTTCAAACTTATTTCAGACAAGTACTAGTTTTCTTTGTGTGTCTCATTTGTTTAAATTGAAAATGTTAATTGTTGCGCATTATTATGTGTTCTCATGTTTAATTTTTTTGGAGTTGTAATACTAGCATATAATAGATGAAATTATCTTGTGATTCCAAATATAAGGATTAATAGTTTCTCCGTAGCAAGCAAAAGTGTAGAGAGTGATTTAAGGGGAAATGAAAATAACTTAGAAGATATGCCAATCTTACATAACCATTTTTATTTTCCTCATAGACAGTTTGATTAATGATATTTTAAAACCATCTAACTTATTACAAAACCAAAAAAATTATTATAGACAAATGGTACTAGTTGATCACAAATTTGTGAAAACATCACCTTCCACTTCGATACACTTATTTGCTTGTCTATAAATTGATCTAGCAGTGAGTTTCAGGGAATAAATATTCGTTCTAATAAAATCTGTAGAGCATTAAGAATGCAAACTAGTAACGCATCATTTGTGTCCACTTTCACAGCATAAACCAACCATAAAGACCACATTCATCCCCAACTACAAAAATTCAGAACGAGTGAGATCAGGTCGTCTCGGTGGCCTCCAGCGATCAAGAAAGTGTGTGCGTGTACGCTCTAAATTTAAAAAGCATTTTGACAATTTTAAAAAGGTTTTAATACACTTGTGCTACATTCAGTAACTTGGAAAACGGTTACTTACTAAAGTTAACTTAATTATTGACTTTTTATTTGCTCTGCTGGTTTTGTAATGATGTTTTTGTTAATTTCGCAACTAATATTAATCAATGTATCTTCAAAACAAATAAAAATCCAGCATAATAAAATCTAATGAAACAAATTTAAGCAGCTGCCAATAATAGAAATGATTCTCAATACCCAACAGGAAGAACGACAATCAAAATAAAAAACAATGAATGACCATGGAAGTAAATGAAAACTGACAACATTTAGTGGATGAGTGTGAATAAAGTTTTTGAATGGTCCTCGTACTCCATGGAAATAAACTAAGACCTTGTTAATACGTTTACACTTAGAAATTGATTTGCAAACAAGTTTAGCCTTCAGACAACAAAATAAATGTTCCGAACTCTTTTTGTTCGAAAAACCGCAAATGCAGTGTCAAAAACCCCATTTGGCCGTTCTTTGTAAAGGTGATTCAATTAAGAAACTATTTAGGGCTCTTCCTGCTTCTTGCGGATTTAACAGCTCATAATGGAAAAGGATTATTTGAATTGCATAGTAGAACAAAACAATTCATAAATTAAACAATTCCATTGACATGAACTAATATGAAATCATAGCCTTGGAGTGAAGACATCTTATCTCTGAACGTGTTTCAATGAAGCTTTAAAAATTTTATATATTTCTTTAACGACTTGTTGGTGGGTATATTCCCGGTATTACTTAGCAGAAGGTATGGATTATTCTAGATCTTTTGCATACAGGGGATTTTATAACTAATGATGCAGACAAGTTAGTTCAAGGGAAAAGTTAGATATCAAACTTAATTTTGCTGCAATAATATCATTTTACTAAAACCGAAAGCAAAACAAGAAATTAACCTGACATCATTCAAACGAGAAAAGCGCTAAAGACGCAATGTCTTCAGCAGCCTTGTAAATCTAGTATAAAAAAGAAGAAATAGAAAATAAAGTTTCTAGAAAAACGTACAAATTTGCAATAAGTGCTCATAAAAGTACAGGAATCAATGTGAAACAACGGAACTAAAAATATTCAAGAAAAGTTAATTGGAATATTGCCAGGATGTTGTTGGTGGTCTTCAAGTGCTGTTGTAATTCTCCTTTTTCAACTGCTTGAGCAGCAAGTCAGTATTTCAACACTTACCTATGGGAAATCGATATTATATCTATCATCGATATTAGATCATGTAAAAAGCGGCAAACATCGGACTTTTTGCAAACGTAAATCGAATAGTTGCAAAACTTGTATTTTTGCGATTGGTTTTTGGACATTGAAAGTAGTCAAGCCAACATTTCCAGAATAAAATAATCGGATGTTAATTGAATTATATTGTTTAAACTGAAAGCGTCAAGATCGTAAACATTTTTCCAGAGATTGGATAGGAACACAAATTTATTAATTGATTCAGACAGAAGTATCCTGATTAACCACCCATTCTCAGGCAAATAGATGAGTAAAATGGTGAACACCTATGAACTATGTCTTATAAACGAGTTTTAGTTCCGTTTGGGGCAATGTCAAATTGTCGAATTAAGTCAAATTTCTTCATTTTTCAAATTAATTAATGTTAGGGGCATAAAGGCATTGAAAAAATCGGGATTGCGATGTAAAGATCCTACCTTAAAAGACATCTTATAGAATAGTAAATGCAGCTGGTATATTCTATTCCACATTAATGATTAATTAACTTACTACTAAATTTTAAATTTGTTTACAATATAAATATGAATGCAGGGCAGGAAAAACACATAATACTAATTATTAAACTCAACTAAAAAGTATTTTCCAAGTAGAAAAATCAAAGAAAAAAATGATGGGGCTCAATATTCGTTTAAAGGAAATCCCTTGTAAAAATAGCAGGATTTATCTTGAAATTACTATCACAAAATTATTATTTGTTTTCCACTGAAATCCTGTGTTTTTTCCTGAGAATCTTCAATTGTTTAACCTCAGGTTTACTTTCCCTACGCAAACTCCCTCACACAACTTGAAGATAACAAAATGTGCTTGATAAATTCAAACCGTTGTTTTTCATTTTCTTATTGGCTGTGTTTCTGTAGATCTTGTGCTACAATTGCTTTAAACGCAAATGTCAGAAGAAAATTAAATAAATATAAAGCAAGAATTTACAGTATGATATTGAGCTGTTCAAGAAACGATATGTTTTATTCATTGATCTGGGCAAAGGATGGGAAGAGGCTCTGAATCTGCTTAAGTTATTTGATTTATTCAGTTCAGAGCAGACAGGTATCAAGCATCAATTTTTGGGGACTAAATATTTCAGTATTTAGTATTTTTCGATTAATTCCATGAAAAGGCAATTCCAGCAATATAAACATTTATTTGGCTGATTAGTGAATTTTTGAAAGACGAGTTGCTAATTCTCTGCTACATAAACCTCCAAACAGCTACCAGAAACTGGCTCATTATATCTACCAATATCAATGAATTTGAAAATATTCAAAAACTATTGATATTGATGTGGCAGCGTCCTACTTCAATAAATACATGCTTTAAACAGTGTAAACAAGTTAGTTAGTTCATTTCGTGTGTATCCTAGAAAAAAAGTCGATATGATAGGCAGTCAAACAAAATTGTGTACATTGAAATGGTTACAATTTGCGTTTTGGCACATTCTGCGTGCGACTACTTTGACCAGTTTAATGCATATTTTTTGGACATTGTTCTCGTGTAGATCTTTCTGTGAAGTGGGTGATTTTTAGGTGATTTTTTGACGATTTACACAGACAATGACGCAAAATACTGTGGTTGAGAATGGTCCCGAGTAGCAGAATCATTTTGCGGCAAGTCCTAGTCATTTGGAAATAAGTGGAATATTTTCTGCATGACATATTGAAGCATCTGAAGTGAAATAGCCGCAATATTATAAAAAAAAGGCTATGCATATAGCATTCCAAACTTGTGATACTAAAATTCGTATTTAAATGGAGCTCTATATTAACTTAAAACTTTTAAAACATTTTAATCCAATCATGTTCCTATAAATACTATTAATGATAGGAATATATATCATGAATTATGTAACAAATTAATACGATAACTACGAATTTAGTTATGCGAATTACTTATAAACTGTATGAGATCAATTATGTCGTACGAAATTATTAGATTAAATATTTGTGTCGTAATAACTAGATATATAAATGGGAAAATATGTTATTCATTTTCTATTAAATCCTAAAGCTCAACAAAATATGAAATTCCAACGCCCGAAACGGTATATTTCCTGCTCTTTCTTGTTTATGGTAAAACTTTCTTGTTTCGCAGAAAAATACACCCACATTTATGTATCAAGTTTTTCAATAGCACCTTAAATATACTTCCTAATCCGGTCTAAAAATATGTAAGAAAAGATTCACCCGTATTATGAAATATTTCATGTAGTTTTTGATACGAAGTGTCGTTCGTGCATAATTAAACGAATATTTTGAGGTGTTTTGCATTGATGTAGACAAGTGGAGTTTTGTTTTGCAACATTTCCACATTATACAGGGTGTTTTATCTTTTTGAAGCAAACTTTAATAGTTCCGGGTAATTTAACTCAATAGGCCAATATATTGTTTTTGAAATTCCGGATATTCAAGTTAAACAAATCAATTCAATAAAAACAAAATCCAAAAAATGTATTGCGTTTGAATTTTGATAGGATTATGCCTAGGGGTTATTTCGTTCGATCGAGCCTATTTTTATTAATTAACGCATATAGTTTTTTTGTTGCTGCTGTTGCAAAAAAATAATTTTAATTATAAAGTTCATTAAATCAGAATTCTTGCGTTGAAAAGGAATTTGTCTATAAAATTTCGTTTTTTGTTTATATGCAATCTTCAAACGTACAAAAAAATAAAATCTGATCAATCATGGATTCTTGTTTTTATTAGCTTTCCAATGAGGGGTGAAAACCTTTAGGTTTGCATAAAAAAAAACATACCGAAGGTGGTTCAGCCTTTCCTGAAGGGCTATTTGACTCATCTTGTTCGAAAAAATGTAAAAACTTTAATGAAAACGTTGAGGTATCCCGGAAATTTTCAGAAAAAAGATTATCTACCTTCCTTCTGGCAAATTTATTCCAGTTAAATTTCTAAGAGGCATTTAACTTATTCAACAATTCTAAACTTTGAGCTTTTATGCATGATAAATTTCCTTGAATAAAAGAAAAACACAATCCGATTTAAAAGTCTGTTTGAGTTACACCAAAGTATATTAAAAAATCATATGAAAATACGATTGCGTCAAGCGCGATAAATGCATTTCAAACTTAAGCGGGGTTTGATAGGATAATGAGGATTTCTAACTAAAAGAGTAGCTAATTTTACAAGAACAAATGATAGCAATTTTAAACCGTGCGCTTTTTCACATGAAAATAAAACTAACGAACTACAAAAATGAATAACATCGACAACAAAAAAAACATAATAATTTGAACACCAAGTGTCTTAAAAGCTAATAGTTTGCCCATTTTCTTTTGTAATTACCTTTGAGAGCCTCCTACCTAATGAGACACCCATTGTTTAAGGCGAAATATAACACTTCCATCAATTATTGATATTTCTAACTGTTCAGACTGAGATTACAACACATGGTGTCCATCAAAAGTTAGTTCTGATGCTATTATCTTATCTTTAAAAACAAAGTCTGAATTTTCTAATAGAATTCTCTCACAATTTTTTATTTCTATCAAGATTCTCAAGTGAAAAACAATTTATTGGTAAAACAATAATGTAATTGTGAAAAAGAACTATTCTAATAATTTATTATAATTATTGCAAATTAATTAATAACATTGATAAATCACTTAGCTTGTAAAGGGATTGCAAACAGAATTTGTTTTTCTCGCAGTCCCCGTACCTACTCAATCCCTAATCCGCTCAAGCAAAAACATCTCCCTAGATGCGCTCTACATTTCGCTCTATGCCTCCGGGCCGCGATCATTAAAAAAGTTCATTATAAAAAATTTGATTGGACGGAGTCGGCATCCTGGTGGGGGAAAAGACGCGAGTGAAATGCTGGAGGGGAACGCCGAGAAGAATTAGGGAGAAATAGAAAGAACACGGAAAATAGAGCCGGGGCTAAAAATTCCGGACGCACTGTTACGCGGTCTAGAATGAAAGGGAAAGGAACAGGCGCGATGAAATGCTGGGTGATTCTCTGATAACTCATTCTGTTTTATTCTGTTCTGTAATTCGACAAACATGCGTCTGCGGATTTAAACATTTTTGGATGTTAAGAGTAAAAAGTTTATTACTGTCTATTATCAAGTAAGAGTTTCTCTATTATTTGAATTAAACTGAATTATTGGTTTACTTTGCAAAATATTTTTTTTAACTTTAGCTATGGGGGCCAAAACCCCTTTATTAAATCATGTATCCTGCGAATATATAACTTCAACCAAGATGCATTCGAATATATTTGGTTATTAGAATCTAAATTGCAAAAATCAGTGCAGTTTTTTCTAAATTAATTTATTACTCGGCCTTTAAACCAGCTTAAACTCGGCCAACAAATTTCAGTTGCGTCAATATGTCTTGGAGCACAAACTAACTCAATTTTATTTATTGATTTAAGTGCAACAAGATCTGCGAAATTTAGGTCATACTTTCGGATACATTTGAGCAGCTATTCGGCTCTATTAACATTTGCATTTTCCGTTTTTGTGGAGATTTGTTTTCAATGAGCTTGTGCGTATGCAGCAATTTTTCTATTTGAAATTATTTGCGCTGAGTCATGAGAGACCTTGTATACTGACAAATTTCATCGACACATATGTGCCTAACCAAAATCAAGAATCACCGAAATAATTATTAGAAATGCGTAATGATTTCCATATGAAGCACAATTGATTTTATGTTGTAAGTCAATGACTTCGGCTCATTAGAATGGCAACATCATTTGCTTTATATCTATATTTTATGGTAATATCCAATGGAAGTTGGCAAGTGCCTGATATGGGATAGGATAATACTCTATTAAATTGAAGATTTTTTCAACTGTCTTTGAACCTTGCAAATATAATTGAACATTTTGAGTCAAGGTATAAGAACGTTTGAAAGAGTTGACTTAGAAGATGTTTGTTTATTAGAAACTTAAAAATCAGAGAGTGGGTTTAAAAATGAGTTTAAACAAGGAAAAACCAGAAACTTGCCATATCGATATAGCGCTGTTTGATTTATTTTACAAGCAAAAACGCCTTCAGTAGTTCCCTGAAGTGAAAATATTGTTTTTGAGAATACTCCAAAAAAAGCATCCGTTATCATTCAACTCATTAATCATCATTATACATAACGAGCTACTTTTCACGAGTATTTTTGCAAAAAAATGTGTTTTTGCTGTTTCATATTCCGTTACCAACTTGTGTTTTAACATGAACTTGAAAAAACGAGTGTATACTGTCTACAAACCCATTTAATCAATTTTCTTTTAGTATCAATCACGATATTACTTATACGTAGAATACTTAACAGGGACAATCACTTATTTAATTGGTTAAATAATTTATAATATTTTGAGATAGTTATATGTTGAGGAAAAAAATATTTCTAATTAATCAACAGTGTCGTTGACAAATATGAAGTTGTCCACTAGAACAGGAAAGATCACTTTTAACTACGATTTCAATTGTCAAGCAAAATCCAGTGCATAAAATTTTCCCAATATTTTGTATATGACAAAGTGGTCATGAAGCGATTCTTTCTACCTTTACTCAACCGTCTTGCCACTCATATTGAAAAGTGAAGTTAACTTATTATGGTTGCATATAAATTTTAGTAAGGACTAACTGACAACTTTCAATCCGTTTAAATGTATTATTTCCTTACTTCGACGACATTTTTTGCAGTTTAACTTAATCGTACAACAATGATTGAAATTATGCCCAAAATATCAACATTTATTTTGGAAATGCTCTAGATTTACCGTATTTCATTTCAGTTTTTTCTGGCTAGCAACCAGATGGGCATACAAAAAATACTATTAAAAAAAACGTTTGTACTGCGTTTCCATTAATAAAAAGTTTTAATTTTGCATATGCTTAAAAATGTGTTTCTTGATAGCAAGTCAATACCAATCAACTGTATACCTTCGTTGTTTCGATTTACTTTATAGGTCAAATAGCCACAAAACTGTACTCGATTGATTTTGCTGATCAAGATTTTAAAAATGAGTCAAGAGACGTTAGTTCTAAAATATGATAATATTAAACGGTTCTTTCTTTCAGAAAAGTAACCTTTATCCTTGTTTGTTTTAATCATTGTATTTTTTGAACTGTAAAACTCAAGAAGTTTGTAGAAGCTTCTGGAAAATATAAAATATAATCTATAAATGATAAAAACACGATTCCGACATTTTACTCAGTTGCGAATTGATGACATACATCGGGCTTTTAGGTCTGTTTGCAGTTTGTTTAATAAATAATTTTTCGTAAATCTACCGCCTCAAAAATAAGTCGCTGAAGAGAACTGAATTAGGTATGTAGTTGATAACTTTCACGATTCAACCTTACTGGATTAAAACCGTTCAAAAACAATAATAAAACCTTTTTCTGATTGATTGATTTTGAACCTCATCAAAACTACTGTTAACAATATTTTATTATATTCCTTATTAAAGTTTTTCTCGTAATGAAAAGGAGCATATAACACATTTTATTAGACATTCATACTCCTTCTGGCATAGTCTTAGTTATACGAACCTGGGGCTATAATACGTTAAATTGCTTTCATATTGTAGCCTATAAAATTATTTAACTCAATTAGCTCCGGCGCTTTGTTAGATTAATTAGCACATTCATTAACCCCCAGTTTCAGTTGATACATTTTTCTTTAAATCTTGTGTGTTTTCTCAACTAAGAACATCCTTTAAACACTGTAGTTTAAATTTTTTTATTTAGCACCGTTTAGGATAACTTTCATTACTGGTTCTAGAGAACCATCTTTTGTCTGTGGGCTACAAGTTGAAACCAAGTGAAACTAGTTCCTCAAAACACACTGTATATTTGAGCGTCTTTGATCATGTTTAACTCACATGTTAAATGCTGATGCTCTATGTGCGAATGTAAATTAAATATTATTAGTTTAGCAGAGGGATTTATCTCGTTTGTCAATTGGCAGGAGCAAAATGAATTTGATTAAATTTTCCATGTGAAGAGAAAAAAGTTGTTGGATGAAGGAGCAGAGCAAAGGCACATTTTTGAGAGAATCACCTGTAATTCCTGCCGGTCAGGGCCGAAGACATTTGTTGTCAAATAGAGCAAAGGCCCAGATCGGCGAGCTGTGGCCCGAATCCAATCACCTTGAGACTGCAACGAATAGAAACGACCTACAGGTCGACAGAAAGCTCTGCAATCAGCAGGATGTACCGGTGCTAACCAGAGGATAAACACAACGACTGTCTGTCTAGCCAAGTGTCTAGTCAGTCTGCCCACAAAGGAGTCAATATTTTAGATAAACCGGCCAGACGGTTTGCAATATTAAGCAGCACAGTGCACTTTTGTTTATTTGGAATATTTGCATTTGCGACTGCCGAAAAGTTTGTGAGCGTGAAATCTTGCCAGGTAGGAGGTCAACTACAAGCGCGTCTAGTTGGGAATCATTTTTTCGCTGGGATATTTTTGTAGATTAGAATAGTTTTATCGTCTAGTGGGATTTTATGTTAGTTGGCTTCTTGGAATGTTGATATTTGGTTTGTTTTCGGTGAACAGCCAGGGCCAGACTGAGTCAGTGATTTACTTGGAAATTTTATACATACACACATGGACAATGAGTTTTGTTTAACTGTTTTCGGCAATTGGCTTGTGGTTGGTTAATTTACTTACGAATAAATTGCGGTGTGGTTTCGATGAATTTTTCTTAAGCAAAAAACATTTTGAGCAGGAATTTGAAAATTTAAATTTTTTGGGACGTCTGAGTTCAATGTTCATCAAAAAAATTACCTTAAAACTATCCAATAGGTATGTTCAAATCATTCATGGCACAAATACTTCCTAGTAACGTCCATCCTGCCTTCAGCGCCAGATCACAATTTCTTCCGGTTTAATCACGTGTTCGCGCACAAACTGTTAAAGGCACTGGACTTGACTACCCGCGCTCAGAATTCAAATTTGTCCGCGAAATTGATAAAAATGTATTCGAAATCGGGTTCGGCGATGATCTTGTGCAGGCAACGGTAGACAAATCAAACTATTCGCAAACATTCAAAAGTAACCGATGAAGTTGGCCCGTCGACCAGCAGTGTGCGAATATAAAAATTTTTGGAGCGCGCAAAAAATATCGAGGGCCACCAGAGTTATTCTTTATTGGGACATAGTCATGAGACATCTGCTGTAATAAGCCGGCACTAAAAAATAGTGCGTGCAGCAGGAAAAAGGGGGGAGCCCACCCCGCCTATCGCGAATGAAAATGCGCAGAATATAACGAGTACAGACCCGCAATTAAAAATATCAAAATAAAAAATCGAACGGAACGGTGGTGCTCTACTGTTGGCGAGTACATGGCCCCGCGCAAACAATTTTTTAAAAGTAAAAGTGTTTCTGGCACATTTTTGCAGGATGAACCGGGAGTGCTTGTTTCCTGCTGCTGCGGCTGCTGCAGACGTTGGATTGTCGCACCCCCGCTTTTTATGCCAACCTGCTACCGTTCTTAGTTTCTTGCTCTGATTAGGAAAATATGAAACTGCCAGTGGCGCACCGCCCTTTAAGATTTTACCCACCACTTTACATACCTTATCATGTTTTGAATAAAATCGCTTTTGGGTCCCGATCTTTGGCCAAGTTTAATAAAACACTACCCTTACACTGAAACTAATATTTTGCAACATTTTATCATTAAAAAGGCATATAAAAATTGAACTACAGCATTTTATTGTAGTTAATTTCAACAAAAAAAATAAGGAAAATAACAATTGCAAATAACACATCAACATTTAATAGAATATCGATCATTATTAAATACTATCTGACAAAAAATGTAAATTTCTGGAAAATTTGGCTAAATCTGACTGATTTTGTATACCAAAAATTGTTTATTCGCGTTTATGCGACTCTTCGCTTTCTTCTAGATAGTCAATGGGGTTTAGGTCTGGAGATTGTGTAGACCTATTCAAAATTCAGTTTTCGCAATCCACTGTTGTTCAAATTGTGAAGTGTTTTGGAAACCCAACCGTATTTTCCATTGAGCATTAAATACAACCATATTTTTCATAATTTTTTGTTAAACAAATCGATCCATCATATGAATAATTAAGCGTTAAAGACCATCATAAAACACTGCCTTTACAATTTTTAGTTGTGGATATTAGGTACTTATTTAGCATTAAACCTTGTGTTAGTCGCCTCTCACGAGCTATTTCAATATGGAGTTAAATATTGTATTAATCATTTCCGCTCTCCTCCATTCTTCTCTGTTGTTCCAGTTTATCTGGTTCTTTCATGTCTCTTTCCATTCCTCAATATCAGCTTTTTCTTGGCCTTCTTCACTTTTTTTGCTGGGTTTGATTGCAAGATCTTGTTTTGGCATTATTGTATTTTTGCGAAAAATATTAGTTATTTATCCTTCATATGGTCTATTTTGATTCATTCTTCCTCATCATTTCACTCATACTTCCTTTGGTAAATATTTCAATTCTCGACCTACTCGCCTCGTTTGTGAAATGTATTTCTGTTGCTTTGAATGTTTTTTCAATACAGTTCTCCGTTTTATTATTTTCACTTATAATTGTGTCTCACAGTACATTACTTAATAGACTAATTGCTCCTTTGTTCGACTCATTTCACCATTTGGTTGTGCCTAGACGAGACTCGTATGTTTTGCAATACTTTATTATTCGATTATTTTCAAGTTTTGCACTATGCTTGTTTTAAATGCATACTATATTCTGTTTTAGCTTTTCTCCAATTAATTTTCAATGTAGTTCAGATGTTCATATTCTTATGCGATACACAATTGATCACCCGCGAAGTACACCGTGTATAATGTATTGGAGCTCATTCAAACTTATTACTCTTTTTTCCATTCAACAACAGCACATTCAGAATCGCTTTAGACTCGTTTTGTTAAAATAATGTCTTCAATTACTTTCATTGATAAAAAAAATGTCTTTGATTTAGAGTTTGTGATAAACATTGTTTCAGGCATAGTCATAAAATAGTTAATGCGATTAATGAAAAGAACATATCTAACATGGTTTATGTAAAAATAAATTCAAACTTCAGTGAAACAAGTTGTTCGTCGAACACAGAGAAAAAAACGCAAATGTAGGTATTTTAAATGTTTTCCTTAACTGTTGAATTGAATTGTTCAAAACCACTTTTAAAATTATTAAACAATTTTTTTAACTACTTTTATTAACACATGTTTTGACTCAATTTGTATTGATATTAAAGACAGATACATTGTTAAAAAGATATAAACGAAATTGTCTATAAAAATATTCACCTGTAAATTTTTCAACGATTTGCAAAAAGACGAAATTGTTGGACTATTGCTTTCAGGCTTTTTTATACACATTTATTACAATTCGCCTTTATAATATTATTTAATTTAATGATCGTTTGAATAAAGTTTTAGTTGAAACAACACTTTTATTCGAGCCAATAGTAATTCGACCTTCTACGAGTAGTAATTTGACTGAGTTGTTCTCGAGCTTGATCTACCAGTTACGATAATAAAAGTATTTTATATTTAGCAGACATTTAAAATAGTGCAGTTTATTTTCTCAAAAATTGAGATCAAAGCTATAACAAAATTAATATTCTAAGTTTTATACTGATTGTGTATTTCTAAATGTATATTTTTATCAAAGAAAAATGTTTCTTTTTTATATATTAATATCAAATTTATCGAAAAAAATTTAATATTTATTTTCCAATTGTAATTGCAGAATGTAATTCAAGCTTTCTGGACGATTTGTAATTTGTTAATTGTGCATGAATAATCTCCGATATTCCTTCCTCTTGCACTGGATCTTTAACAGCTATAATTTTCATATAAAATCATATGTAAACAACAAAAAAGTTTACTTGATGCGAGTGCATATTAAAAGAGTTTTAGACACTGTTTTGAGCATTTCAATTTAACAATTTTAGCTCTCGTTTTAATTTAATTAAAGCAAACGTGAAAACACATACAAATTTAATACAAATAACCTGAAAGAGATACAAAATAGCCATGTCCCAAATGAACAAAACGCATCTTTATTGAGAACTGCCGACTTTGAGATATAATCAGCCAGGCCTCAATAATTTTCTTGATTATCTTCCACAGAAAATTCCCCTTCATTTCCAATACCAACAAATGTTTCTACCAAATCCTTATTTCCAAAATAAGAGGTATTCCAGACTTTGCTTTGCATCATAAAAAAATTTCAGGTTAAAAAAATAACAAGGAGTTATATCTAATTCAACAGATTAATAATAGAAAATTGAGATTATCTGCTTGGCAATAAATAGTCGTAAGCACTTCTACACTTTAAAGTACTTTTTCAGCTATCTATATCTTAAAAATCGAAGGTGAAAATTCACAATTATAATTACATAGTACAAAACCGGATTTTTTAAAGTTATGTAAACAAATATTTTTTTAAAACTAGCTATTTTGCAAATCGTCGTCTTTTTTCGATAAAAATATATTAATTCACTAAAACACGATTAAATTAATGTTTCAACTTATTTAGTTTGGCTAATTAAGCATGAAATAAAAGATAATTTGCTCAGTAGCAAAACGTTTTTGCAGAAAAATACCTTTTAGGAACGCAGTTTAACAGAGAAATTTTGTTCTGCAAAAATTAAGCAGATCTTAACTAAAATTAGTTAAATAATAATTCTTTAACACACCAGGACATTGCTTTGCTGCACACGACTCTACACATTCTTGATAGAAATCTACATGGTTTCTCCTTTTATCTCGCTTTTGCTCTGATTATAAATTAATTTAGATACATATATGAAATAATCAAATTTCCCAAGTGCTATTAAAAAACAATAAACAAAAATCCATTATTTTGCGGAAAACTTCTATAAGGTCGCTATCACTGCAAGAAACGTAATCTAAATTATGTTGTTATTAATGCCGTAATTAAAAGTGTATTTTGCAAAACTATGCTGGTTTATTCACATCGCACAGTGGGAATTGTACAAATGAAGCGGTTTATTGCCGAAATGCCTGTGTGTCATTTGATCAGAGATTAGTAGTCAATATCGAGAGGAAGCTTGAAGTTAAATAGTTCAATAATTTGATATTTGTAGTTTCTAAAATCACTCAATTTCCTTCGATCAGGGTCTAACTATGATATAGATTGATAAAACTTATCACTAGAAACGACAAAACAAATGCAATTTTCTACAACCACTTGTATGATACTTTAGACTTTCTAAAGTATCATTCAACTATATGCATTTAAAAACTATGGAGGATAAAACTTTGATTTTTTTAAACATTTGAAAATAAAATCAATGATTGTGTTTGTGAGTCAATGTATTTTAAATTGCAATGGATTTCTTAAATGTGTAATATGAGATTCACAATTTTTGTTGATTAAAAGTAAGATTATTTAACTAGATTATTAAATAACTAATACTAAGCACGTACTGGAGTTATCGATTGCAAGTTGATAAAATATATTTCATTGGAACCAATAAAAACCTCAAAAATATATTGTTGTTGTCTCAATTTCTATTTTGTTTTAGTCTCGATTTAATTATGAAAAGTTTCTTCAGGTAGGAACAGAAAAACGTTTTCGGACAAAAGCCCAGAAGCGTTTTTTAAGTAGAAATGTTTTTTTGATCAATCCTGTTAAGTTAGCTGCTTTCTTAAGCAGCCTTGATAACATAAAGTATGCTATAAGTAATAATATAGCCGAACATATTAATGTTCAGCTAAGCTACTTTTCTGTGATAATGAGATAATTTCACAATTTGTCACTTTGTACCATATCGCAATTGAATAATTAAAAAAAATTGACGAATCTCTTATCAAATATCCTACGAACTACTAATTGGCAAGTAGGTCATCGGCTTATTATATACTGATACGAAATGTATTTACGCTATTTGCTTTCCTAGAGGATTTTTGCAGAACGCATGTTGTATTTGATAACCTAGATTTCAAATACACCGATGCTGTAATCTTCAAATAGGCAAATAAAAACGTATGAATAGAATATCAGTTATAATTTGAATATATTGTCGTCCTGGGAAATGTTCAACAAAACTTGGCGGTTGCAACTTAGTATTCGCCTGATGATCTCCTATGTATTTAGTACTACATTTTAGCATTAAATGAACTTTAATTGGGGTAGCCTTTTTATTGAAGCATACTTTGTTAGCATGAAGCATACTTAAGCATGAATCATACTTTGTTAGCGTGAATCATACTTTATTAAGGAATGCAAGCACACAGAAAAATAGTGATAAATAGAATTATTGACTGGATTAAAATTTTTCCATAGTAAATAAAATCGTGACGTACGTGCAGCAAAAGTAGTCCTGTTTTCGTTAAATTTTACTTCAAGTTTGGGGTCAATATGCAAAGAACCAAATAAATTTCAATGTCACCTTATTCTAATGAATAAAC